AATTTCAGATCTTCTTATTAAATAAACAATAACAACTAATAAATTAATATTTAAATCATCAACTGGTTTCATTAATTAGACATTTTAAATTAATATATTATAATATACTAACTGTAAGTGATTTAGTTAAATTGTTATTTTTAACAACAATTATTATTATTATTATAAATGATAATTTCCAACACACTGTATTTCATAGCTTTATAATAAAACTTACAGTATTGCAGTTAATTTAATTATTAAAATTTAAATTTTTTACCTAAGGTTTGCAAAAATATAAATTAATATGTTTTTAAAAATCTTAATTAACTTTGTTTAACTTAAGCAATCCAATTATAATGTAGTACGTTAATTGAGATTAATTTATACAAACTTTATTTGTAATTTACAGTTTTCATAATATACATTTTAGTATGTACAATTATCTATTTGTTAATCTACTAGTTACAATTTTATAAATATTATATTATAAAATATATCTATTATATAATATGATAAAAACGATACTAACGATACATTAACGACAAGAAATTTTATTATTCATAATATATTTTTTTATCCATTAATAAAAGTTTGAGTGTTTTATCAATTGAATACTCGTCTGAAATTATATTTAAGGATTAAAATATTGAAATACAAAAACTGATTAAAATAGTGAATAAGTTTTGTATTAACCACAGTGATACACATAGCCACTATTTATAATATAATACCTACTTTTAATTTTTTAAAATTCTTAGTTATAAGTGATTAGTCATTTTCTAGTAATGTATTGCGAGAAACACATATAAATGCAACTATTCTGGGTATTAAACTGTAATATTACTTATAATATTATTATTTATTAAATAAAAAAACAAAATATTTATAAGTTGGCAATTGTCAAAGAAATCATTTTATTTAATCATTTTTTATATAAAATATTGAATAATTATTACCTTGATAAATACTTTTAATTCTTAAAATAACTTAATTACTTTACATTAATAATTATAAAATGACAGTTGTACTTAATAACTTTGGATTCTAGTAATTATTGATATAATAAACATTAATCTGTTTACACTTTGATTGATTTTTAATGATAAATTTAATTAAATAATCTATTTCATAATAATTACAGATAGTCATATTAAATAAACAATAATAAGTAGTAAAATAGTATTTAAATCGTTAACTGGTTATATTAATTAGACATTTTAAAATATTATTTATATTATATTATAATCAGTTTAATTATATTTACAAAATTACATAGTGATTTATTTATGTTATTATATTAAGCAACTATAATTATTATATTAATTATGTTTGTGAAAGGTACGTTTAGTAAATTTTATATATTTTATAATTAATAATTATATAATGCTATTTTTATTACAATTAGCCTGGCTATTTACATTTGCAATAACTTTGCTAAATGTGCATGGTAAATGCCCAGATGATCCTAGCACAGTCCACCCATGCGTATGCGAATACAATTATTTGGAGTGCGAAAACAATGTAACTGATCTGGATACAATTTTTGCCAATTTGAGTATGCACCTTAAACCTGATGAAAAACATTTTAAGGCATTTTATTTACGTACTCACAACCCTATTACGATACTTTCAACAACTTTCCAAGATATTATTTTTGATAGAGTTAATATCCATGCTGACAATTGTAAAAGCATTCACCCTGATACATTCAATCATATGCTTAACATTACGAGCATGCTATCAATATACAGTAATGATTTGAATGATTCGGACACAATTCTGCCCTTGGTAAATAAATTCAATAATTTAACCTTTGTCTCATTAAGGGTGCCAATAAAAAGTATACCTGCTGACTCGCTAAATGGCAATCACAAACGTGTTAAAACGTTCAGGATCACTTCATTTAACATGGATGAAATAGCCAGTAACGTGTTTAATAATTTCACCTCGCTCACTGTATTAGACTTGAAATACAGTGATTTGAGCCTGATACCTGCACATGCATTTAAAATTGACCAAGCATCGACTAAACGACTTGATATTAGCCTTGAGTACAATATGCGTATCAATGAAAATAGTTTTTTCATGGAGCCTGATTCGTTAATGGGCATAAATAGACCTACCACCATTTATTTCAACAGGTTTTATGGATATGGTTCATTTGTATATTTGCCCGAGCACGTATTTCTACCCTATTTTAATAGTAATGCGGAAAATGAGCTGCAGTTTCGTATTGATGATAATCAAAGTCAATTTGATTGCCAAGATTGTCGATCGTATTGGATCAAGCAACATAATCTGTTTTCTCGTTTATGGGGATTGGTATGCTCAAATGGACATTTACTGACACACGTTGATAATTTTGTTAACTGTACCGCGTCAGCTTAAAATAATCAAGGTGGTTTTATTATTTGAAATTAATTAAAAAACCTGGCATAACCTGTCAGCTATATTTAGATCAATTAATTAAACAATAAAATTTAATGTTTTGGTTTACCCAAATTATTAATATTTTATATCAAAACGATAGTTAAAAAGTTTAATTTTGAAACTTATACAGTTTAAATTATTGTATTAATACTGGGATCAGTAATATTACATTAATAATTATTATTTTATTAACATTGCATCATAAATTAATTAAAAATAAAATAAAAATTATATGTTGTTTTAATAATTAATGTCTATTTTTAAAAATTACATTTATTTAATCGTATTATATAAAGGTTTATTTAACAATACATGCAAAAATTAATTATTCATTTTATATACAAACTCAAATTAAATAATTTTGATTTTTAAAAATTATAACACAATTAATTGTGTGCAATGTTATCTGATATAATTAGTAATATTCTTTTAACTTAAAACTATTAATTCTAATATTTATAATTAGAATAAGTCATCTACATAGTTTTTAATTAATAAAACTATAGTAAAATAAATTGTAATCATCAATATATTTTTATGAATAAGATATAACTACTTATGGTTTAATAGTTTAAAACATTATTTTAAATTAAATTAAAATTAATTATCGATGTATAGGCTGTTGCTAATGAAACGTGATTTTGAGAAAGTAGCCATGTCCCAGGGGGAACCGATTGAGCATGGTCGTTGTTGTTAGTAAATAGTTTCAGCTAGTTACAATTATAATTAATAAATTACTAATTAATTTAACTATAGTATATTTAAATATGTTTTTAAAAAATTAATAAAAATTTAAAATTGTTTAATAGTTTTACAAATTATGAGCTGTCTCACTTGTGGGATGCACATAATTCAAGTGGTGCCTAGATGTCTCTACCATTAATGTCAAAGCAGTTACTTTACTAAAAATATTATTTTAATAAAATTATCAGGGATCAATGGATAATCGGGGGATAATTGGGGGATAAAAGTCAATCCCCGAGTCTTGCATTATCAATTATGTTATATTATTAATTTGTGATAAAATTGTGTTATACTTGCATAAAATTACAGTTGTTAGTTTTTTTATTATGAGTTAAATATAAATAAAACAAAATATAATATACAATAACTTTTTAATAAAAAATAATTAAATAAACATTAATAAAAATTATAATTAATAATACATGTAAATAATAAATTTACATAATTATAGTTTGGGAAACAATATAATGATAATTATAAATTGATAATTACATTAATTTATTAACTTGACAACTAATGACTTAAAGTTATTAAGTTGAAAAATCATAGTTTTAATTAGTTATTAATTACATGAATACAGTAAGTATACAAATGGTTAGAAATTGAGGTAAAATAGATAACTACTAGAAATCATTTTGTAATTTATTAAAAGATTATTTTAAATTAATTTATTATAATACATTAATTTATCACATAAAAATAAAACTTAATTTAAATTTTAAAAGACAACTAGCATAATTTTATATATAAATTTAAGTGTAATTACAATAATAAATTGATCCTGCGAATAAAGCAGTAATACATTTTAAAATTCTTTATTTAAAACTAATAATAAAACAAATATTTTATTGATTGGTGTATATGTCGTGCATGAATATTTTTATTTTTTTATAAAGTATCTAGTAAAATATAATTTTAACAAAATAATATTTTTTATTTATAGTAATAACATAAATACATTTTATTAATAATTAAAAAGTGACAGTCGCACTTACTAGCCTACAGTAGTTTGCCAGAAATTATTTATAAAATTAACACTAATGTATTTTGTTTACACAAATATTTATGTATGTGAATGGGATAGAAATATTTTGAAAATTAAATAACTTAATATATAATAATATTTAATACGTAATTTGAAGTACACCCAATGGCACTGTCTTAAAAACCAACTTTGCCTCCTTGCCTCCCCATTGGGAGAGAGAGCTGGTTATATATTTAACTATTATTAAATATTAATTTTTTATTAATTTTATACAAAGTATGTAATGTAGATTATAGTTTAATCAGTTAATCATTTAATAATTTTAATTGTAATTACATATAAATAGCTCTCTCTCCCATTCACTACTATTGGAAATCTAGAGTTACTTCAAAATGATAGAGTGAACACTACTAGCCCTACATTGGGATCGGTGATGAACTTGCGGTCGTTTGGCTTAAACAGTGTTAAGTTATGTAATTTAAAAATTATTAAAATTACAGTTGTTAATTTATATATATTTTTCAGTAATACGTTTTAAAAATTAGAGTTTGTTACTTATTATATTAATATAACTATGTCTTGTTAACAATTTTTATTATTTAAAAATGTATTTTTAATTATTAATTCATTATAACAAGTTTTATAATTTTATTTTAGTTTATGTTAATATAATAAAATATTACTAATATTACAATTCTTATCTAAATGGCAAATAAATTCTGATTGATTATGTAATAAATTTTAAAATATTTAAAATTTCTATGAAAAAATTCAAATTTTATTTATCAATTAATCACAAATTAAAAATTATCAGGATAATATTACAAATTCCTATTATAAAAATATATAATTTTAATGATTAGAGTGATTGATATTCGCGTCCATTTGTGTTAGTAATGTATAAATGATTATAATCTGGTGGCGGACTAATCCTACCGGTGCTGTCTGGTAAGGGAGGGGCGGACACACCCCCATAGCCCGGATGACTTACACTATCATTGTATGGATTAATGGTAGCCGTAGTGGTAGTTGTATTACTAGTGCCCGTATAATAAGGGTGTTGTAGCAGGGCACTCCGCTCATCAACCACTAATCCCGGTGCTGTAGCTAACCGTCCACTAGAGCTATAACTTCGTGGGTCGGGCACAGGTTCCCAGCGCCTGGATCGCCGAGATCTCCTACGTCTACCTCCTGATTGACTTTCCGTACTGTCGTAGGGCTCGTACTGAGAGCGCCGGCGGTAATACCGTTCCAACGATTCCTGGTGTCGGTGTGAGTGACAGTACGTGTCCGAAGGGAATGGACCCCTACTCTGCCCACCAGTGGTTGAGTAATGCATTTGCAGTACTATTCCCGTGAGGGACAGTAGTAGCCAAATGACTGCCATTATTATGTCTATTAAAATAGAAAATAGTAATTATTTTTACAGATATTTCAGTTTAACTTATTATTTACAGATATATAATTTAATAGTTCAGTTTATTATTATGTGTAAATACCTTTGTTTTGAAAGGGAACGGTATTATAGGCACTGAGACTATAGTCAGCCCTCTTGATTACATTTATGATGATGTAGGACAGGGAGCCGTAAATGTAATGGTCGACCGCTATTACCGCCACATATGAGCCCACTATCGATGACGAGACGACACTCAACTGCAATACAATTAAGACTTACAATCAGTATCAGTCATAGGGAACATCCCTGTCCCACAGCTTAACATAAATGGATAGGCTATTTGAAATGATATATACCGCTACGGGGTTTACCATTGGGAAAAATAGGGTGACCAGTATAGCCGCACAACTCATAATAAGCCAGTAATTAATGTCATTTTGAAAGAGCTCCAGATTTCCAATAGTAGTGAATAGTAGGGTTGCCATCAGTAGGAATCCCAGACTCAGGCCGGTTAGCACTAGGGATAGTAGGGGTTGGCGTAGTATTTTCCATACGGCCAGCCATACCAGTGCCAGTATAGTACCCGTGGCACTGGTGTATATCCTGATGGATGACTGGTTGAGTTCAGTGTATTTGATGAGTAGTAAGTATGCAATAAATGAGCCGTCGATGAGTCCAAAGAATAGCATTTCTGTTATGAAATATGAATTATTAGTAATTTATGTAATATTTATGTTTATAGTTAGTGAATAAATTTTTAATCCACGAGATTATGCTATTCAAAATAAGACTTGATAGGTAAAATGCTTATTTAATTAATTTATAAGAATATCTAATTTTTGAAAATAATTAGTTATTATAATTATATTCTGAATAGCATATTGTACATAGTTTTTTATTGTACATTATTGTATATTTTTATCATGAGTCAGATACTATTTTTAAAATTAAAACTGTAACTTAACAATCCATTCTTAAATAAATAATTGACTTGCTTAAAGGCATATTAAAGTGGCCTCGAAACAAGCATCGAATTATTAATTATTTTAACTAGTTTATACAATATACTTTAACATTTTCATTATTTTATATGAATTTGACTTACAAGTTAGATACTGTTGTTAAATATTTAATATTTTAAAACTTCAAAATAATTTAATTTCAATTAAATAAATTTTCCTGGGTTATACGTACGCAATTGAAACCACAGGTGCCCTCTAAAGCATACGAATACACCCATTAAACCCATCATTGATGTCAAAAATATAGTCGTCATATCTATTAACACAAAAAACTAATAATAATTACAGCAATAAACAAAATATAATTTTTCAAAATTACCATGTTTACCGCAGTGTTCAATGCTATCATTGCCACAATCGTACGTAACAATGGGTACGTAGGCTGAGCTAAACTGTCGTGAAGTTGCGATTATGTTGTAGACTACGGGCCGACCCGTATAGGCGTATAAATACTTTCGTAATGCCGTTGTGTTCATCAACTGTAATATAAAATTAATTTTAATTAACAATAATATAACATTAATATTTATTTAAGAAACTGGGTGTTTTGAAAGACAGTATTAATTTTTACAATTTATAAATAATTTTTTTAATTAAAACTGTAAACTTTATATAAAATGTTAAATAATATTAATCAAGATAATATAAATATAGAAACTGGAGTATATCACTCGTCCTAACAAATAATATTGTTTTAAATTTTATTCGTATTCACCTTGCTACCCTGGTTGCTAATATCCGATATGTTACTCATCAAAGTAATGGCCCGGAAGTACTCCTTTTCCGTGTAGTCTCCCTCACGTAGAAAATAGCCGTAAATATTGTACTCTATATCCGATTGACTTTTCTCGCAGCTGACATGCTTTAAATCTTTAGCTGAGCCTGGTCATAGAAATACAAACAAGGTTAATCTCAAAAAACATAATAAATAAAAGTATGTATTTCTACCGATACTCGCGTATTGATACTCCAATCGATTGAAATACTGATTCTCGTATAGCCGTAGAAATGGTGATACTTTTAAGGGGAACTCCAGTGAACAGCCCCCGGGTATGGGATCTAAATATTTTGAAAAATAAATTGTAAAAATATATGAATACGTAATTATCAGGTTTGGGTGCCAATTAATTTAAATCCATAATAATATTATTAAAAATATTTTTACTCTTTTAATATTACAGTTTTTAATTATATACATGTATTATTTTCATTAATAAACTATTGTGAATAAGTTTTATAAACTACTTACTATAAATGTCATTTAACAAGTACAGTTATAAAGTAAAATAACTAAAGTTTGGTTTGTTTAAATAAATATTATAAATAGTTATATTTTAAATTTTTATATAAATAGTAACTATTTTTCATACCGTAAGCCACGTGTTGGTCAGTCACTACCAGTGCATTAACATCGACACCATTAGGGTTATGGATGTGCACGAGACCACTGTCCACACCAGTGAACAATACCAGCCCTACATTGCGACCGGTGATGGACTTGCGGTCGTTTGGCTTAAACAGTGTTAAGTTATGTCGGTGTGAATGGAGGCCAACCGTCACGAACCGGACCCATACGGGCGTACGGCTATCGGCGCTGTCGTATACGGCAAACAGTTTAGTCGTATTGGCCGGTATTGTCAGTACGTGTGAGCCGGATAGTAGACCTGGTTATAATTTAGTAGTAAATTAATATACTGTAACTGTGGTAAAAAAATATTTATAAGTTTACAATATTCAAAAATTAATTAACAACATAGTGGGTAGATAATCCATTATTTTAAATTATATTTCAAACAGGTAAATTAAATATTATTGTATATATAATTTACAGTTTATATAAACAAATAATAAAAATAAGCGTAATACTTATATTTGCAAGTTGTTACCATTATATTACTTAATAATTTTATAATTAATATACCAAATGCTGTATTTACACATTATTACAGTTAACAAACTATTATTTATATATTTATTCTATAAATATATTTCATTTATCTTAATACTAGATTGTATAAAAGTTTCGTAACTTGTTTACCTAGAGCATATGAAACATAAACAATTTGTTTATCATACATACCGTTCGCTAATATCGTGAAAATGTTTATCACAATCAAAATGATTACACAATTGACTATAAAGTTATTCATTATATTGTTTTATTAATCCAATAAATATATACACAATAAGTTATTTTCACTTTTTTAAAACACAATAACATTAATATTTTTCACAAAGAGTGTTATCAAGTAGATTGTAATCCAAACACAAATTAAATACACATATTATTAGCATTATTTAAACAAAAATCAGTTAAAACGTATTGAATTGCATGTTAAACACAAATACTATGTTATCATAAGTATTAATAACTAAACTGTAATTTAATTATAAATATATTATTTCTATGGACTTTGTATTAGCATACAATAGTAGACTAGATAATTAGCATATTTTAATAAACACAGTTATATTTATAATGACAATTAATTTTACTTTATTAATAGTAAATGGCAAGTAATGTCAATTGCAAAAAATTATCAAACAAAAACACATATAAACCGGTACATGTAGTGTCTATGTTAAAGTCCAGTGTTTAAAAATATTGTAGATAACTCGCTTACAAAAAGTACAGTATACTCACCGTGAGCATAGGGAACTCTATGCAATAGTACTGTTACCTATCACAAAGTTAAATTTTATATAAATGTCTACTAATATAATTGACCCTGCTTAACTAATTTTAAGTAACATATGAAAAATAACCAAATTATTACATATTTATTATAAACACATTAATATGTATATTATAACGAGGGTATACCGTACTATTGTAGATATCGTAGCAAAAACCGTTATCTCCACTCACCCTCACTGTCCCACCACTACTACTATAATATAGTAGGCACTTATAGGCCTCCCCTCTCCCATTATACGCTCCCATTACTCTCTCTCTCTCTCTCTCCCTC